ATACTAATAAGTACTCTATACAAATTGCTATATCCCGTTACAGGCATAACAGAATTAGATAACCACAGCTGTTTTGAGTAATAGGAATTAGTTTGGACCATGGCTTGAAACTTGTCAACATCAATCTAGGTGGTACCCAAAGGTATAATATTCTTCCCATTAGTTTTATCCACATGCAATATGTTTTTTGGATGTTGTTAATCGAGTATTCTATAATGCTCTATAATTTCTAAGCATGGGTACATTTGACCTTTTTTTAAATTTTCTTCTTAAATTTAAGTGGTCTATCATTACTCGTGCTTTACAAATACCATACTTAAATGTTAATTTTCTGTGTTTAAATGATTCCTAAATCTAGTTTTCTTGCTATGGAATGTCCAATTTCTTATTATTAAATAATTATTCCCATTTACTTATTTATTTAATATACTCGTATGTTTACTGCTTATGTGCGTTTAAATAGGATAATTTTGTTCCTATTGTGACTTGATTATTTGTAAGGTTTTCATTTCTGTAATTAAATCAGGGTATCGTGTAGACCAGGAATACCCAAACTATTTTGGGCAAGAGACCCCTTTTCCAAAATGAAGTGATACCTCAGACATCGATAGCCAAATTACTTTAAAAATCCTTTCTTGTACAGTATATTTTTTCTACGACCCACTAACGAAAATTTACAAATAAGAAAAATATTTTAGGTTGTTAAGACAAAATAACTAATTTTAAAATAATTTATGACTTTCAATAATTTTTAAAATAAAATAATCGAAAAAAAAGAAAAATGTTCATTCCATTTTCCCCATCCGAGAATCGAATTCCAGTCTTCCGAGTGGAAGGCAAGAACACTAACCACAGGACCACCTATTCTTTTATTTTTGTTGCTTTAATGCTCGTAATTAAATTGACTTCATTATAGTTTTATTTAAATTAACAAATTATTTATAATTATAGACGAAATAAAAACAGAAATACTAGTATTTATCGATTCTACACAAGAATAACCCATTTTAATGTATGTTTAATCCCAATAACTAAAAAATATACTGACAATTAGTTTGACAGAATTGTCAATTATTTAAAATTATTATTTTTCTTCTCCACTATTACTTAAACATTGTAAATATATGTATAAAAAACTATAATTTATCGTTATATTTTTTCAATGCATAAAAAGTTATCTTGTTAATAGAACACTAATAGTCAGAGTAAAAACTGACTATTCTAATAATTTTTCTTTTACTTCTTGAGACTAAGACACTTCTGGGGACTATAATCCAAAAAGACCGAAAGCTTGTATTGTATCTGTTTAATCAAGAACAAGCTGCGCATATTAACGGGGGTCCTTACTGAGCATTGTACACTCAAAGGATAAGGATACCTTAGTAAATTTGCAGTTGTGAAAGCAAATGTTCTGTGAGGAGGAAGAGGAAGACGGAATCTCCATTCACATTCTGATATAATTTTTGGCTGGGAAAATATCAGATAGCGATCTGCCTCTTCCCCAAATTCTAAACTTACTTGGAGATATTGAATTAGAAGTGTTTCTATAGACGTCGAATTTTCTTGCATTCTTTACAACAGAAGGGAGCACAATAAATACTTTTGGTCGCAGTGTAATTGGCAACAATACATTTTTTGCAGATGATCTTAAACTTTTCACAACAATAGAAATGCTTTTGACTTCAGTCTAATACAGAATTGGGCCGTAATTGCCTCGATAGTGCTTGAAAAAGTGCTGCAATCACAATAGCGCTTCGAGCACAGTGCTTGCAAACACTTTTTAAAAGCAGTGCTTATGTTATGTTAAGGACTGTGACCTAAAAGATCTATTGTGTCCCCTTCTGTCGCCAATGCACTAAGGAAATGTCTCAATGCCTATAACGACCTTTCCAATCTTATTTTGTCAAAGAAGTGTAGGATTTGAAGTGGCCTCAAGTTAGGTAAATCTCCCTCTTCTCTTTAATGTCCTCCTAGATATAGTGCCCTTGGATTCTGGAGTGCTACACATTCAGTTAGGATGTGAATGGAGGTTTCGTCCTCCTCCTCACAGAATCTGCACTCACTATCCTCTACTACTCTCAGTTTACTTAGGTGTCCTTTTAGTCGGCAATGCCCGGCAAGGATCCCTGTTACAATACGTAGCTTGTTCTTGCTCAGGCAGATGCAGGCTTCCGATCTTTTCTGGTTACATTCACCCAGAAGTATATTGGCCTGTCTTAGTCCCAAGAGATTGTTCCATTCTTTTTTAATCTCTCCTAATATTATGTTACTGCTGATACCGCAGAACGGCTCAGGTCCTACAAAGGGTGTTTGAGCTCCTTTCCTTACAAGACTATCTGCAATCTTGTTACCCTGTACTGCGTTATGTCCCGGGATCCAAGTGAGAGTAACTCAATTTTTTTCGCCTAGCTCATTCAATTGTTCTAGGCATCTCCAGACCATTTTTGAGCTGATTAGGTACGTAAGAGTTCAGCACGTTGATGGCTGCTTGACTATCGGACATGATGATAATCTCTTGTCTATGATAGTTTCTCACGATGTTAAACTGGATACACTTCTCGATGGCGTAAATTTCTGCCTGGAAGATGCTTGGGTATTTTCCCAAGCTTTCGGAGTGCTTGGTTCTCGGCCCATATACTCCTATTCCAGTTCCTTCTATGGTTTTGGAACCGTCCGTATACCACTGAATAGCACGTCTTTCGGTTGCAAGCGCGATGGATTCTTGGCTCCATTCTTTCTTACAGCCCAGCTCTGTGGTTTTGAAGTTTTTCACAAAACTGTACTTCTTTAGCATTTCATCCTGGGGCATGTCCCAGGTATCTTTAGTCTGATTACTCCGTTCCTGATTATTCTATATCGTGTCCTTTTTGCCACATTCTCTATATTCAAATGGGGAGGTTTAAAATCGCCTCCATTGCGGCAGTAGGACAGGTTCTCATTGCACCAATAATGCAAACACAGGCTAGTCTTTGTACTTTTGAGATATTAGCTCTCGTAGTAGCTAAACTAGTTCTGTTTCTCCCGTAAGTGATGATTGGTCTCACTATTGCAGTATACATCCATCGCAGTATGTTTGGGTTACATCCCATCGTTTACCTGCAATGTTTCTGCATACCATTAGGGCTTTTGTGGCCTTATTTACAGCCTTCTTCTGTGTGTTCCAGAGAAGTTTGTTGTCCAGGGTTAGGCCTAGATAGTTGACTTCATTTTTCCATTCGATATCTATCCCGTCTAATTTAACGGTTTTGAGATTAATTTTTCTTTTCCTTGAAAAGGCTACTAGTGTTGTTTTTGTAAAGTTTATACTAAATCCCACTTCACGGCACCATCTTTTGGTATGTTCTAGTCCTCGTTGGACTATATTATACAGGATATTATTAAACTTGCCACTAGCAAATAAAACTGTCTTTAGCATAACCTTGATAGGGTATGCCGAGGTCAGTCAATCTGCATAGAAGTTCGTCTACGGTTAGGCTCCACATTAGTGGGGATATAACTCCTCCTTGTGGACATCCTCTGGTTGTGTAGATGGAGATGGTGTCCTGCCCTATCTGTGTCTCTGCAGTTCTCGTAGATAACAGCTGAGCCATCCATCTGGATGTGATGTTATCTACTCCTCTGTATGCAGTGTTTGGTAATTGAATTTGCATTTCAGGCCATTTAAAGTGCTTGCAAGCACTCATAAGAGCTTGCAAGCACTCAAAAAGCTTGCAAGCACTTAGAAGACTTGTGGGCACTAAAGAACTTCCAAGCACATTTAGAGGGCTTGCTTATGTATTACTGTTTTTTGTATTTAGTTTGTTGTTTTTCATTTATATCCAATTTTTTATATAGCCCGAGATCATACTGCGAAATTTTGTGAATAAAGTATTAATGACAAAATGTCTTTTTGAACATTATACTCTTATTGATTGGTCACTGCTGTAAATGGTTGCCATAGTTATTTTAGTCCCTGCTGTAAATGGTTGCCATAGTTATTTTAGTCCAAAGTTCGAAAAACCATGCAAAAATAGTGAATATAGGAAATTATTTTTTTATAGAATCTGTCCTTAAATTCAGTTCCAATAATTTTAGGGATGATTCTACATAAGAAACAAGAAAATTTCTTTACATGGACATAGATGCGAAAAATCATAGTTTTCAAGATTGTTCACTTTTTTTAATTTTTTTTTTTTTTCATATAAATATCATTGTTTGTACGTTGTTTGGGACGCCACTGAACCTAATAATTTTCATCCAGTTAGGGCTAAATTGGTCCCTTATCACTTCAAATACCTAGATATTAATTATATCTATACAAAAGTGATAAAAAAAAGGTATGCATATCCGAACCTATGTTCATATGAAGAAGTTTTCATGTTTTATTATGTAGAATTACCCCTAAAAATATTGGAACTGAATTTTACAAATTCGAAAAAAATGAAATTTCCTATATTCGCCATTTTTGTAAGATTTTTCGAACTAAAATAACTATTATGGCAACCCTTTAAAACAGCAACAGTGGTCAAAAATGCATTTTCTCATTAACAATTTATTTATAAAATTTTGCAGGTTAAGGATATTTTGAGTAATTGGTGCTTTGTAATTAAATTGTGCAATTACTTTTCTCGATAATTGCAAAGCACTTAAAATTTCCAAAATGCTTGATGTTACTTTTCCAAATGGCTTGGTCCTTTTTGCTCGAACCACTTTGTTAGAGTGCTTTGCCTAGCTCTAGAGAAGAAGTATATATAAAGATTACTGGCCTTGAAACTAGAAGAAAACGCATATAATTTAGCTATTTTTTAACATTGTAAATGGAAGATATGATTGGTCTGAACTCCTATATAAAATGCATCGTTTTGTTCTTACTCGCGCTGTACACAATTACAAATAATGTTGAATATTTCATTTTATAGACAACATAATTCGATAACCTCATGATATTTGATACTTCTTTAAATAGAATTAACCTATAACTAAACTTAAAAAGTAGCATATTAAAATCTAAATGTTTTCAGACCTCGTCGACGCTCGGGAAGCAGTATAGTGGTCCTCGACGGAGATTTAGAGCCTGTGAAAAAGCATCCCGACCTCGAGCTCGACGACAGCCTAGAGTACAATAACATGGTGATGATGATCCCTACTGATAATGGACCTCACCGGGAGATGGCTGTCGACGTGCCGGACACGTTCATTGCTAGGAATAAAACGCCACCTAGGTATCCACCGCCGAAACCTATTATCCAGGTAAGATTACATTTTAAATTAAAAAAAGTATTATATAAAAAATAGATGCATCCAAATAGAGTAGAACTCAAAAATACAATTGCGAGTTTCACAATTTCGGCGAGATCAAAATATCTATGGATTGAAACATTTTACTTTAGTATGTTTTTTGTATCTCTATCAAAATTATTATTTTGTATGGACTGACATCCACGATGGTAAATACCTACCTAAGTATTGTGGTGGTGTACAAAGAATGGTTCATGCGAAAGCAGAGGTCGTTAGTTGGTTAGGGTTTTAACGGATTGGATATTGTAGCAGAAAAAGTTATTAAGAGAGATAAGTCTAACCTCTCTAGGTATGAAGAGCCTTATTACTCTTTATAAAGGGATCTTATTAAGTGCATCATGTGACTTCTAAGTCCTTAACCACCAGACATTCCTTTAATGAGTCGCCATTCTTTTAATAGTCAAATAATATTAGTTGTTTTTGTCGCCGAAAACTGGGTTCTGCAGAAAAAACTTGAGTCAAAAATAAATGGGTTAAAGTAAGGAATTACTCTTATAAGAACAATTACGAAACAGGAACCAATAGTGAGAAAGATCAAAAAGAAACAATAATTAAACAGGCATTATTACCTAGTAAGAATAAAACTAGACAGAATAGCGAAAAAAGTAATGGAAATAGGAAAATCAAGAAAAAGTCAACGAAGAAGTCTCATGAGGAAATTGATTAACTAGATTAAATAAATCGGAATTGATAAGGGGAAAACCTTGATAGAGATATCGAAAAATCCGATATATTTCGAGATCATTGGCACAAAGTAAACATTTAAAATATTTAATTCGTTTTGAAAAATCACTGACAACTAGTAGAAATAGTAATGGCACCAAGTTATATTTTTGTGGAACTCCAGAAACAGCATGGAATTTTGTCATATACCTATCTATTTTTCAAATAACTCTTAAACAACACCATTACACCCAAAATGGTTAATTTTTCCTTGTAAAACATTGTGATCAACCCAGTCAAATGTTTTACTAAAATTGAATCCATCTGTAAACTGCTTTCTAATGCTTGGTGTATGAAAAGAAATAGGTTTAAATTACATTGAATTACATAATACTGTTTTAAAAGAAATTATTTAATCTGGTGTAAATTGTTTGCTCAAACACTTTAGAAGGAGCACATATAATAAAGATGATGATTATTATTAATACAATGATGGCAAAGCCGTGGCCTATTAGGCCCAATATGTAAAACATTTTTAGTAAATAAACTGTAATGGTTCCACGCTATATAAGGTGCCTAAGGGTTGTTGCTTCAATGTCTTCCTACAATAATTTAAAAAATATCAATGTCTAAATATAAATTTTGGGTTACGTTTGACTTTAGGGACACACTGTTTCCAGTTTTACTTTACTTTTTGATTTAAATAATATTAAGTATGATTTTTACTCACTTTAGGTTTGGAAATGCGAAAAAAAGTATAAATCAATTATATATTTTAATTAAATACTTTTTAAAAATATCGCGACGAATTGATAACTCCCTCCTTTTTTGAAGTCGGTTAAACATAAGAAAACGAGTCTTTCATTAAACTTAACCTAAAACTTTAAAATTTTAATATTTGACATTTCTTTTCTGGAAAATGAGCGGGGTAGCCAAGATTAATTTATTACTTGTTACTATTTCAACCGTTACCCGCAATATCTAAGTAGTCTGAGTATTAACAGTTTGATCGGGTAGAGTAGAATTTAGAGTGAACGATTATGTTGAATGAGTCAAATAAAATGATTTTGTAACATTGTATTTCTACAAATTACTCAAAAATGTCATGTTAAATGTCAATAAGTTATAAAAACTTACAAAGGATTACTGTTTAATTTTATAAACAATTTTATAAGCTGATATGAACAGATATTATTTTTTGATCTGTGTTAGGGGCCGGGGAGCGATATCTTTAATACAGATTCTGGTATTTTATCACAAAATTCTATTATTTTTATTTAAATAAACAAATCATAAAAGTATAATAATTTGCGAGTTTACAAATTAGTTATACCTTCTTACATATTAATATACTTGGCAACTCTGTATATATATGTCAAAATATTTGATTAGAAATGTGCAATTTTTGAGATTTTAACATTAAATTTCTCGCTTAATCGTGGATAATCTCCAATTTTTTGTTAATTTTCATTATAAATTCTCTACTTTCTAATAGTACATAAAATATTTTGAAATTCGTGTGTCTTTTATGTCGAATGTAGCCAAATTTTGAATAATTAAAAAATGCTCCCCTTCTTTCTTCTATACCTTCTGTTCTCACGTCTTTTTATACTTCCTGCTCTCCTGCCTGTTAATAAATGTACTGTCCTGTCCCTTAACTTTTCTAACTATAATATTTTTAACATTTTTTTCTCAAATTTAAATTTGTACTGACAGTTTCCCAATTGACGTCAGATACCCCAAGGCCGTTCCGAATAATTAACTGACGTCAACGATACAGAACGAAAACATGGCACTGACGTCCAATGACGGAATCATGACAACATCCTCCAAATTTGACATGAAATAGTCTGTGCCAACCACATACTTTGATTACTATACGAGGCAAGAGAGAGGTCCGACACGCCCAACATAGGGCGCGGCCATTTTGAACCCTGTGACACAGTTTACAGCTAAAGAATCAGATCGCTCACTCTGCGTCGGCACTTTGGATCTCAATGTTTCAGTTTATACACTGTGCAACTCGGATAATACAATATATGACAACCGCCTATAATAAAACAGCAGTCTTCTGCGTATCCTGAATTTGTATCCCTGGAGTGGATGTTATTTTGGAACTTTCAACTGGTCCGAGTGAGCTGATTCTTTAGCAATAAACTGTGACTTTAAAAATAATATTCACTGACACTGACAGCAGCAAGCAAAATATCAGGTGCGTTTTAATCATCCGCTTCTGCTTCCGGAATTGTTGGTTTAGTCGTTTTAACCTGTCAGATTAAAACAAGAAAACCGACAATTCCGAAGCAGATGCGGATGATTAAAACGCACCTATTAAAAATATTGCGCCAAGATGTAGGCAACACGTAATAAGGGTTCAAAATGGCGGAGTTTTCTATCTCCTTTTAAAAGGCACTCAGAAAGCTGCGCAGTGCGACTATTCTCCGTATAGTAAAAGAAAATCAAAGTATGTGGGCCAACAGACGAATTTCCCAACTGGCAGATAATGTTTCCGTCAATGCACTACACTGATTCGTTCTGCCTATACACCTTCCAAACTTACTTTTAAAAATTACTATACTCACTCTTTTTATCTAAATAATTAAATCCTATAAAACTATAAATTTTAATTCTCCTCTTTCATTCACGACATTTTTTCATTTACAACATTCTTTCACATTCATTTAACTATCAACTTATTTTCTCAAATTCCATATTCTCGCCATTTTCAAATGCTCAAATTCCGTCCCCCTTTTAAAATATTATGTCTTTTCTTTTACTTTTGTCTTCACTCTCCATCTTTCTCAATCAACCTTCGATTTTTCATTTTTATAAATTCGTCTTCTCCTATCCTATTATTTTCCCTTTTACTCTTACTTTGCATCACTTTCGTCCCCATTTTACTTTTACTCACCACTTGGTTTTTGCTTTTGTATTCCTTCTATCTCTGTTATATTTTTATTTTAATCCTATTTTTATTTTAATCCTATTTTTATTCTTACATATTTTATTTTCTCTTTCATCCTGCGTATGTTCCTGTTTAATTTTATTTTTTTAAACTTAGGGGGGTGGGTAGCTCAGTGGTAGAGTCTCTGCCTGCGGATCCAAGGGTCCCAGGTTCGATAATTCTGATGCCTTGGTAGGATTCCCCACTCGACCATTCACTGTTGGGTTCTAATTAACAGTGCTGTTCCTAAAGTGGCGCTGGGAAATAGTAACAAAGCCTACGCAGGATACCAGGCTAATAACCTTAGTAGTTGATGCCGATGACACCAAATAAAAAAAAACATTACGGTTTTCTTCTTGAACTTATTTGTTTTATTTTCTCCTTTATCCTGTTTTCTGTTTTTCTCTTGACTTAGTTTTGTAATTTCTTTAATTTTCTTTCTTATTTTTTCGTTCGATTCTTCAATTTTTCTTTTACTATTAATTTTCATACTTATTTCTTTTTTTTTTTTCAGTATTACACTGTTTTTCTTCAATTCTCCTTTTCCTTCAATTATTTTTAACTTCTTATCCCTTTTTCTTTTATTAACTTTATTCCTATTTATTTCTTTTTTAACTTTATAAATCTGTTTTTCTACATTATCTCATTTTTTTCAAATTTTAATCTTTAAATCTTTTTCTTGTACATCTATTTCTTCATTTATTTCGAAACTCTTATGTTCTTTTTCTTTATTTTCTATTTTATTGTCATTTTCCAATTCTTCTATTTTATTATCAATTTTCTCCTCTAATTTCTTTTCAAAATTATCCATATTATCATTTACTTTCTTTGCATATTCTTCCATTTTTACCATTAATATCCGAAATTTGTCCTTTACATCCATTTCCTTTTCTTCCTTTCGAATTTCTACTTGACTTTGCTGATCATCTTCTTGACCTATTTGTTTCCTTTATTTTTATGCATATTTTATTCTATACATTTATTCTTCACTAATATCTATTCCCCTCTTTCTCACACTACCCCAATCTCTCTTAAATTATCTTAAACTTACTTTAAACACACTACAATCACACAAGAATCAGTATAGTACAACTTACAGGAAAATTATATTACCAATCCTTGCTGCTGTCCTGCTTCCACTACTTCACCAACGCTAAATCTTTGCCCCATGTTGGGCGCCAATTTGTAATAATAATAATTAATAATAACTTTATTGGCACAAAATCTAAGTATAATAACAATATAAAACAATACATATATTGGCAATAAAGTTAGGAAAAAACGATAAAGTACATAAGTACTATTTCGCTTATAAGAAATAAAATATAATAATGATAATAATAGT